GCGACACAGCGCGTCGCGGCAAAGATACCGCACGAGGATGTCGTTGTCTCCAATAACCTTGGCGATGGTACGGATAGCCTGGTCCGCGCGCAGCTGGGTGTTTCTGGTCGGGGGCTGGAGGCGCATGGTCAGGCGCCGCGGAGGGCAAAGAATGACGGCCGGCTCCCACCTCCTCGTCATCATAGGTCGCCAGGCGCTCCGCACCACCCGAACGGCCGTCTCCGAAGCGCGTCGAAGGCCTGCCAGGCTCTCGGAAGCGATGCACGACGTAATCCCGGGCGGCGTCCCTGCGGTACTTGTCCACCTCGCGGCGCTCCTCGACCGCCGTCCCGGGAGGCATCGAGGGCACAAGCAGCTTACGATCCGCGAGAAGACGGAGCAGCACGGCGATCTCGGGGTCCTCGGCCGCGAGCTGCTGCTCGCTGGCGTACACCTCACCGATCGTGACGAAGGCGAGCTCCCTGACGGTGGAAGTGTCCAGCTCCAGGTACCCGGGGACGTCGTGGCCGAAGAAGCAGTGGTGGAAGTCCGGCTCGACTTCAGCTCCCCCAGCGGCGTTGCACAGGTGTCCGTAGAAGGCCTGGTTGTTGCTCAACCACGTCTTCGAACAGCGCGTGCAGTGGCAGTATCGAAAGTCAATATCGTCGGGCTTCACGACCTTGTAGGCACCAGGCTTGATGACGGCCTTCAGCTTGCGGATCGCCCAGCGCGCGACCTCCGACGGAGCGCCCTGGATCGCGGTCTCGCCGAGTGCCTTCCGCTTGCCCAGCGTCTCCTCGTAGCTCGGAGCTGAAATCCGCGCGAGGCCGTTGGCCACTCGGCGGTACTCGGACCCTTCCCGCGCCTCTGCGACGAACTTGTTGAATGCAGGTCCGAGGACGTCCACGTGGCGGCCCTCCGCGTCCCTCGGCGCCGGGAACCACGCAGGGTGTTGATCGTGCCCACCCTGCTCGCGGAAGTGCTGTCCCGTGGCGACGAAAATGGAACGCAGCGTGTCCACATCGAGCTGCCTCGTTGCAGTCGGCCCGGCCTCAACGGGCATGATGAGCGCGCGGGAGGTGTCCACGCCCGGCAGCACCACATGTTGCGAGGCGTACACGGTGGGATCAAACACATCCGAGACGTTGGCATGGAAGGGCACGTTGTTCTGAGGCGGCGGAGGGGGAGCCGGCGTGGGCGGGCGGTTGGTAATGCGGCCGATGAGGAGCTGGACGTCGGGCCAGCGGCGCTTCGTGAAGGGCAGAGCGGCAGCTTCTTGAGCGCAGAGACGCCTTGCCGAAAGAACGGCCGCATAGCGGCGCTGGATCATGTCCTTGATGACGTCGATGGCCATCAGCAGGTCCGCGTTGCCCGGGTTCGCGAGAAAGCGATCTCGGCACCAGAGGAGACACTTGTAGACGTCATCTCCGTCCGCACTGTTGAGTAGCTCGCGGACCTGGCCCTAGCGAATAGGGCACCAATGAGATTGCCAACCAAGAAGTCGGCAAGACGTCGACGACCCACCTCCGGAAGAGCGAGCTCCTGCGCCATGAAGCGCTCGAAGGCCTTGAACAGCGCGACGCAGAGGACGAAGAAGGTGACGACGAGCCGGGCGAAGATGGGGTCGTGCTGGGGTAGGCCAGGGTGCTGTGCGCCGACGTGAGCCGTCCAAGCCGTCGGCAAGACACCATTCTTGCAGATTGTGAGCTTGCCCGCGGCGTCGATCGTACTGAGCTGCGCCATGAACCGATGAACGCTTCTGCGATCCGTGATGCGCTCTTCCAAGAGCAGATCGAGATTCTCGCCGAGCACCCCGTTCACGTGGGTCCCAACCGGAAGATGACCCATCGAAAAAGTGGTCACCGCGCGCATGGCGGCCCGCAAGCGCTGGAAGAAGACGATCACTATGATGATCAAAACCCACTGTCCGTCGATGCAGATCAGAATGAGGATAATGTCGACGAAGGGCTTCAGCTTCCTCTTGAGAGCTGTCCAGCGCTCCCGACCAGTCCCGACTTCGATCCTGTCCTCGCCGACGAAGCTCCTCCGAGCCAGCCGCGGACCGGGTCCTTCAAACGTAGCGAAGAAGGGCCACGAGTGCGCCAAGGCCCGAGCAGTCACGTCCTTGCCGTCAATCTCCGACAGAACGCGGCCTCCGACGACGTTGATGTGCTCCGTCAGCTGGAGGCGATACGAGTCGACCGTCTCGACCGGAACGCCGCGCGCGAGCTCTTTAAAGTGCCCATAGAAGCCCTTGCCGTTCGGGCCAAAGACCGCGTTGATCTTGTCGATGGTCTCGCTTTCACGCGTTGATCCTCGGCCGTGGGCTCGTACGGCGGCAGATCGGGCTCCGCGAACCGCCGAAAAAGCTCGTGTGCATCGGGCAGGGGACGCTACGGGTTCAAAAAGCCGCCCAACGCCGAGTTGTGCGAGTCGAAGCGCTGCAGCGAGATGAGGTTCCGCTCGAGAAAGCCGTAGAAAGGGTGGCGGAGGAAGAACGCGGGGTCCGTCGCAGCCTCGGGCGGGAGCTCGAGCACAATCAAGGGCCTTGCTCTCCAGCCGTGGTTCTGCGCGTAGCTGTCGACAGCATCCCAGGACTGGAGGAGCGCCTCCTCTGTTGTCTGCTCGTCGTCGCTGACGCCGTCTTCCTCATCCCCAAAAGCATCCATCTCCATCTGAGCGGCTCGCTCCGCAGCTGCACGCGTCTCGTTGACGAAGCGGACGGCAACGTTGCCGTCAATGTCTTTCGTGTACCGGTCCACGGGGGTCACGGCATTCTGGATGACCACGCCCGCGTAGCGCCGACTGTAGGTCTTCGCCCCCAGCGCGCCGGCCTCTGCGATGGACGCAAGGCTGGAGACACCGAAGCCCGCGTCGCCGAGGAACCTCGACGCGTAGAACTTGTAATCCAGCTCCGCCTCGCCGATGTCCTGGTCCTTGGCCCGCACGTAGAGCATGATCCTCGGCTTGCCCTGGTCGAGCCTGGGGAAGGGGCGTGGATCCGATCAGCCGGGCAGCCAGCAAGGCCAGAGGGAGGTGGCTCACTGGACGGAATCGGTATCGTCGGTGAACGAGAAGCTCCAGATCGCGTTCACGTCCTCGATGTCGGGGGTCTGTTCCGTGAGCGCAACGGGCAACGAAAAGCTAGATCCAGACCACGTCCCGCCGGCAGGAGCTTCGAATTCGGCGGGCGAAGCGCGCGACAGAAACGGGTGCGCGTGATCCTCGCGCAACCTTCCCACGAGCACGGGCAGCTTGTCGAACCAATCGGCGGCGTGCACAGGGTCGATGAGCTGACGAATAAGAGGGTAGAGCATGGCGGGCTGGCAGAACGGGTCGAGCGAAGCGTCCGAGACGGGGATGAGCCCGCGGTGCTCGTCCCACGCCGCGATGAAGGATCGCAGGGCGTCCGCTCGTTCGCCGTGAGTCGTGGAGCTCCTCAGCCTCTCCCGCAGCTCATGGAGCAGCTCCTTGTGCTTCTCGCGCTGCTCCAATCTCTCGTCCACCAGCGGCACCATGGCCTCGACCGCCACCGCGAGCTTCGCGGGACGCTCGTCCACGGTCCGTTGCCGCTTGGCCTCGTTGGCCCGCTCCCTGCACTCCTCCTTCCTCTTCTTCTGCTGATCCACGCCCTCGTTGAAGACGTCCGCCACGGCCATGGTGGGCAAGGCGCAGCGGGAAAAGCCGGGCGTCCGACGGGGGCGCCGCAAAAGGGGGTGGATTTCGGCCAGGGACGCGTGCGAGAACGCGTCGTCCGGGGCAAAAGGGGGCAAGGAGAATACGGCGCGCCGCGCGGCGTCGATGACGCCGGCGGGTCCCGCGCTGGCTGCGGGATCGGGGTTAGGATAAGGAGGGGAGGAAACGCGCCCGTTTGGGCTCCCCGGGTGACCTTCCATAAACGCACGCCGAATCCGTGGAAGCCGGGAAGGATACAGCCCTTAACGGCCTGCAAACCGAGCAAGGCACCTGGCTCGAAGGAGAGAGCTAGAATAGGGTTGATGTAGGCGAAATCGGCCGGGGAAAAGCTCGAATCTAGTGAATCGTGCTTTGGTACAGACCGCCTGACGCGTGGTAGACTTTCCGTGAGATTCATCGATGCCGTCGACGGGTGCGGAGCGCTTACTCTGCTAGTGCCGGAGAACGTCCTTGGACGGGAGAGTGTGAATGGGACCCTCTGTGGTCGGAATCCTGCGTGCGCCCTTCGTCGTCGCATCTCTGCACAACATCAAGGCGCGCGGGTGCTCCGAAAGCGCTGCATCATCGCGCCGGGGCAAGCCGACGACGACGGTGCGCCGCGGGCCACACAAATGGGGAGAGCGCCCGCGGCCGCGGCCGGGCGTCTCCGCGGAGTGCAAGAGCGGTGCGGCCACGATGCTCACCACTAGAAAGTCTCCGTCACCGGCCAAACTGGGTTCTCCACTTCTGTGGAAAAGGGCCACGGTCTTGCGCTGCGCCGCGGAAACGGGGGATCCCCCGGCCCGCAGCCCCCGCGCCGCACGTCCATCGCCGGGCGCGCAGGCCATGGATCCGCCCCGTTCGACGTCTCGGACAGCGTCCGAAAAGTCGGCGTCGTCACATCGCCGAAGTGTTCGCAACTTCGTGCGGCAGGCTGCACTCATGTTCGAGCCGCTGTCTCGATGTACTACAGCAGATTGCGATAGCATCCGATTGCGATAGCATCCGAGCTTTCAATCTGCCATCCGGCTTCCAAACTACGTCACGTTGGCCGGAAACGTTTCCTGTTGGGCGCTTTTGTTGCTGTCGTCTCCGGCTGTGGGGCTGACCAGGATTGGCCCCGGGCGGACACAGAGTCATGCCCCAGCGAGACCAGCTGGGACCCCGAGGAATCCATCAAAGATACGGGCAGATTATAACAGCTGTGTAGCTTGGAAGCTGAGTAGGGACGCACCGAGGCATCGATTTCGAACTGCAATGGCCCAGGACCTCCCGCGTCCGGGCAACCCGGCAACATTAAGCAGACACCCCATAGACGACTCTTCCTCGTTCAAACGGCGTTTGGACCCTTGTAGCTCAACTGGTTAGAGCACGGTGCTTATAGTTTGCTGCGAAACTATGATCTGAGCAACGCCGTGGTTCGCGGTTCGATCCCGCTGGGTAAGGGATTTGGGGCCATCGCATCTTCCCCTGTCCTCGCATTGACAGGGCGCGGATCCACTCGGAATGTCACCGGAGCGAGGAAGGGCGGCTTGGAGTGGAGCACCCGCCTGAAAGCGGGCTAGGTCTCCCACCTAGTGCACGTTTTCCTATTTAAACGATGTTTGTTCCCCAGTAGCATAGTTGGCCAATGCACAGTGCTTATAGTTTGATGCGAAACTATACTTCCGAGCCACGCTGCAGACGCGAGTTCGAGTCTCGCCTGGGGTACTGATCGGGCTTTAATCATTTTGATACATGCCCGGTGGGTTCCCCCATGGCTGCCTGGACTCCGGTCTCCCTTTCTGGGACGGTTCGGCAACGCTTTGCCCGGACAATGGTAATCATTTTCGCACCCGAAACGGCTCGGATCGCCCGCACCTGTGCAGCGGCCACTGGAGCGGGACGTGGCGCACGGAGAGCCACAGACAGGTCTGAAAATTTGCATCACGGTAGCAATCCATGCACCAATAGGAGCTACATGGTCAACCACATTATATTTTCCCGTTCCGATGCTGATCCGGGGATGCAAAAGCGGGAATGGGATGGCGTTCGCGAGCAACTGGTGCGAACGCAGACCGGGGTCCAGACTGGCCATCCCCCCCCGCGCGCCCACCACCTAGTGGCCGTGCGTGCACCGAGGATTTGCGCACGTCGCCCATGCTGGGAGGGCGCCGGCGCCCGCGCTTCTCCGCGATCCTCGGCCCGCGCAGGACCCGGCCGCAGCGCGGAATCGGCCTCATGCGTGTCCGGCCATCGCGGCTCCGTGCGGGCTCCCAACCGGGTGCGCACGACGTGCCATCAGCAGTGACGGTAACTGCGTGGCTTGGGCCGACCGTGGTGCCCCCAACGCCGATGTGGCGCGCGCCTCGGCCGCTCCGCTGAGGCGGCAGACCGGTACGCCGGCGGCCGCCGGCACCACCGGGCTGCGTGCCACGGCGTCGGGCTGCGTGCCACGGCGTGCGGCGGCACCTCGCTGCAGCTCTCCTGCAACGGAGGCGTCGTCGTGATCGCCGACGCGTTCTACGGCCGCGTCATTCCCGGCGAGGCGGCGCTGGATTTCTCGTGCCAGACGCCGGCCAACAACACGCAAGTCGACGACTGCAGCCTGTCTCCGGCGCTGTCAGCCGCCCTCGCCGTCGACGTCGCCCGCGCCTGCGATGGGAAAGAAAGCTGCAGCTACCTTCTGGACGCCAACTTCGAGGCGATGCGGGGCGACCCGCGCCCCGGCGTGCACAAGTTCCTGCGCGTGTCGTACGACTGCATGGCGCCCGCGCTGTTCGCGCACGTGCCGCCCGCGCCCGAGCCGGCACAGTACCCGACGCTGGGGACGCGCAGGCCATCGACGTTCGCCGCGGCAAAGTGCCCGCTGGTCGCCGCCGCCGCGGCAAACGTGTCGGCGTCGGCCGCGAACTGGGCGCTGCGCGTCGAGCCCAACCCGGGCCCGTTCGGCGCCTACACCGTCGACGCAGTCGATCTGGACATGTCGGAGCTGGACGCGCTGCTGTCGGCCTGGACCAGCGGCCGGGCGTCGATCCACACGGCATACAGCCTCAAGGTCCGCGCGGTCAACGTGATTTTCCCCGGCAACACCGTGTCGGTCGGCCTCGGAAACACAGCCAACATGACCCGCGTGGTCATCGAGGCAGCCAACGTCGTCGCCCTGCCCGGCAGCGCGCTCGCGGTCTACTCGACGGCGCCGGACCCCGCCACGGGCGAGCGGGGGCCCGACGTCAAGATCAGGGCGGGCAGGGTGTTTGGCCGGCTGGACGTGTTGTTCAACGGGATGAAGGCGGGGAACCCGCTGGTGCAGAGCGTGTCGGGGACCTACAACCGTGGGTGCCTCCTCTTGCGAGCCTGAACTCGGCCTGACCCTACTCCACCCACGACCAGTCGGCCTCTCGGCCTCTACCATCCCCCCCTCCGGCATCCAGTGCACGACGTGGGCGATCCAAGGCAGCGACGTCGCCTTCCCCTACGCCGCGATCCCCACCTGCGCGCCCCTCCCCCTCTCGCAGTCCTTTGCCCCCATCTGCGTCAGCCAGATGGACACCTCCAACCCCGGCAGCCCAGTCGGCCTCAACCTGAACCCCTACTACGGCGCCAGCTGGGCGACCGCCCCGGGCCAGGATGGGCTGCCCTTCAACACGGACCGGTTCACGTGGGACAGCAAAGACAACCCGAACGGCGCCTTTGACCTGGACGCCCGCGTGTTCTACGACGCCGAGGGCACCCCCGGCAACACATCCACCTCGACCACCGCCTACGCCGGCATCGCCTCGACCGCAGACTACTCGATCTCGCTGTACAACAACCTGCGCGCCGACGGCAGCCTGGCCCTCATCAGCCAGTGGAGCGCCGCCTTCGACCCCAGCAACCCCCTGCCCAACATGCAGCAGCTGCAGAACGCGACATGCGGCGGCGGATGGCAGGTCGGCTGGAAAGCCGCGGCGTTCGGACAGCTCGCGCAGACCCCAGGCGCCAGCACGGCCGACCCATCCTCGTTCCCCGCGCTCCCCTCGCAGATTGCCTCCCTGGCCTCGGCCTGCGCCGACGAGATGGTCGGCTCCGGCCGGTACGCCGAGGCTTTTGCCTTTGCCCTTGACCTCGGCGAGCTGCTCTCGCTCGGGGCAGCGCAGGGGGACTACGCCGCCTCGGCCAGCCTGGGCGGCATGTACGCATCGCAGTCGTCCCTGCGCGCCGACAGGCGCGACCTGGCCATCCAACCCGTGCCCTTCCTCTCGCAGTCGAGCACCAACCAGCTCGCCGCCCTGGAGGTGCAGAACCTTGAGGCGCTGGCGGCGCAGGTGGATGCCGTGCGGGACTCGACGCAGCGAATCTCCAGCGCGCTGCAGGCAGCCAGATGCGCTGCGGCCGCCGCACAGGCTCAGGTGTACCGGGACTCGCTTGGACTGGACAAGTCCTACGTTCAGTCGCTCGGCCTGGCGGTGCAGCAGCTCAACGCCTCGTTCGCCGAGGCGCACGCCAACCTCAACGCCACGGGCAAGGCCTTCATGGATGCCGTGGAGAAGAAGGTGGAGGAGAACGTGTTCGAGGCCGCGTTCGAGCTCGTCTTTGCCATCCTGTCGGCGCTCGTGGGCGGCATCGGCGAGGGGGCCGCGATCGCCAAGATCGGCAAGGACGCGGGGTCGCTGGGGAAGCTGTTCCAGGACCTGGAAAAGGTGGCCAATATGCTGAAGGAGATCGGCACGCTGCTGGCGGGGATCAACTCCATCATTGCGGTGAGCTTTGCGTGCAGCAGCTCGTCCGGCACGGCCCGATCTCACCTCTTCCCCATGCCAGGCCTCGGTGACGCTCAACAACGCCATCATCAGCAACCCGGTCGGCAACACGGACCTCAGCGGGGCCATTGCCTCGGCGCTGGCGGGCAACCTGAGCACCGGCAACCTCGCCTCGCTCGCTTCCTCGGCCCTTGCGTTCCAGAACCTCCACGACGAAGCCTACATCACCGTCGGCCCCGCCATCAATCAGGGCATCACGGGCGCGTCCGAGTACGCCGAGGCCCTGGCCAAGACCGCCAACGCGGGCGGCGACCTCGTCAAGGCGCAGATCAACTACCTCGCCGCGCAGAACAAGGAGCTCGTGGCGGCTGCGCACGGCGCTCAAATACCAGGCCGCGCAGGCCCAAGCCGATGCGCTGCAGGCGCGGGCGAACCAGCTGGCCAACGACGAGACGGCGGTGGTGGAGGCTGGCGATGATCGAGATGGAGTTTTCGCTCATGAAGCAGAAGCGGAGGGGGCGGGGGGAAGCGTGCGTGCGGCCGCTCGGTGCCGGCTCGCGACGATGCTGACCTTTGGCATTCGTTCAGCCTGCTGCCCGCCCTTCCCAACCTTCAACCTTACCCTACCCGAAACCCGGCAAGCCCGACGAAGCGCGTTACCTGACTGGAGGCATCGTCGCCGTCGGGTGGTTAAGCTCAGATGCGCGACAGCCTTGCGTTCGGCCGGGCCTGGAGCTGTTGTGGCGGATCGACAACGATTTCGGCATCATCGCGAACGGTTTTTTCAGGTAGCCGTAAACATGAATCATCTAGGGTATCGATCACATCCTCCCGCGGGTCGAAGTCCATTACTGAGCATAGCTAGTGAGCATACCAATGGGGCAATACAAATGTCACAATCAGAACACCGTGCGGGAGTCCACTCTAAGTTTCTGTAGGAACATCGGATTAGCAAGGAGGATGGACTCCCACGCAGGACGGGCTCACCCCTCTACCCGAGGCCGGGTCTGGCATAGACCTTGGCAATCCCCTCCCTCTCCAGCTCCTTGAACTTGTCCACCGCCCTAGGCTCGTGTCCGACGAGGGTGATGGGGAACGCAAGGTTCGTGGAGGGGCGCTTCTTGCCCTGCTCGGCAGCCTTGTCGGCAGCGGCGACCTCGCGGGTAAACTCAATGACCCGCACGAGGTGGGCGGCGTAAAGCTCAGCGCGCTGCTTCGCGAGCTTCTTGAGACTCTCCCCGACGACGGTCCCCTTGTCCCAGTGCCCATCGAACCACTTCTTGACAAGGCTCCGGCTGGCGACGGCTTCCTTGCCCTTGACGGTGAGAAACCCGTCAGCTCGAAGCGCGGCTTCCGCGGTCTCCCTGAGCGCCTCTGTGGTGCCCGGCCGGGCGATCGTCCCGTCTGCCGGGAGCGCACGCCGAGCCGCGGCCGTGTACGCCTTCTTGATCTCGGCGAGGGGGTCCGTTTCGGCGACGCGGAAGGAGCCAAATAGCTTGCGGGCGCCGAAAGCCTGGACCTCCGGAGTTCGAGTGGTAAAGTCAAGAGTCCCGTTGATGACCTCGCGCTGGCGTGCGACGTCGTCGTCGAGGTTCTTGAGGTGAGCTTTCTCGTCCATTTCCTCCTCGTCTACGATCTTCTCGTCTACGATAAAGCAGTGAGTTTCACAAGAGCAACGAAGCTTCGCCCGCCACGTACTGGACGAGCCGTCGATCGTCAGGAGACGGAGGAAGTCGAGGCGTCTGAGGGTTTCAAGGAAAGAGACCTGAGGTTCCGAGTGGAGCAGCTTGATGGTGACGGTGACGCCGTTGATCTGCACGCGGAACTTGGATTCCAGCCCTTTCTCAGCGAGGAAATCGAGGAGCTGAAGACGGAACGGTTGAGATCAACACCCTGGGGAAAGACCGCAACTTACGAGCTCGAAGAAGGCGTAGGCCGACCATCCGCCGTGCTTGGCACAGCGCCGCAGTCCGTCCTCGTCAGCCTCCT